ACATCTGGTGAAAATTTCATGTCATTAGCACCTCTAGTAATATATTTACTGAGAAAAATGTTGGCGTGTTCAATACTTATTTTACTCGCTGTATATTTTGCATTTACAGGAATTCTGTTCAAATGAGTCAAATTTTCTCTTTGCTGAAAGAATACCAACAAACCAAAATTTCCACATTTAACCCTGTTTGGAAATCAAAACAGAAGTAAACTGTTTAGACTTCCAAAACCTTCTATTTAAAATTGAGCAATAACAAAATAAAGAGCTCGTACTTAATTTAGCAGCTGAGGTCTAGGAGATGTTTTTTTTTCCTTTTTATCTTCTGAAAACTTTTTTAGCTTGACTTCTCCGACTCCTCCAATCCACACGTCCGATTCTTCGGATCCCACCTTCCCCTCTGTAGCAGCCGCCTCTCTGCACATCAAAGATGCATGTTTGTTTTGCTAAAGGATCTGTATTTGCAATTTGAAATTCCAGAGAGCGTGCTACATTTTTGAAGCGAACAAATAAACTCGTTTTTTTTTTCCGCATGTTGTGAGGTCGTCGGGAGTGGAGCGTGTTTACCAGCTTTCATCACCGTCTGTCAGTTGCGTTAAATTCAGAATAAGCAAACTGTCCGTCTTCCTGGAAAAAGATAAAAGGAAAAAATCTCTGAAAAATGTTGATGGTGCTTTGATTTGCCCGTGTGATTTGGTGGTTCCGGTCAAAACTATTTAGCAACAATGAGCCTTACATAACATAAGCGATTACTAGAAAGCAACTAAACAGACAATTTTTCTCCAGTAAAGACTTTTCTCCTTTTTTCCTTTTGCTCTCTTCGTAGACGAATGCCGAGGTCTGACTCAGGAGACATGTGATATCAGTCCTGTGTTAACTCAGGCCATGGAGGCCTTACAAGATCGCCCTGTTCTTTACAAGTAAGCAGAAACTCACAACCACAGACGTAAATTTAGCATTAAAAGGTACGTAAATTTGTGTTTGGTAGAATATTTCTTTGTTGTAATAATGCTTCTTGGCAATAAATGTTATAACATTGCAAAGCCTGTTAATTTCACTTTTGTAAGGAACAGGCATTTGTGTGATGAGCAGTAGAGATGAGTCTGTGGGTTGCACGCTGCCTCTGTCAGTTTATTTTGCTGTTGTCATCGACACTTGTTCTGAGCTTCTGGAACCTCCAGGTGCTGCCAGTCATAAGATTTATTGCAGAGAAGCTTTGTTACACAGAAATGACCTACTAAACCTTGCTTTTTGTGCTACGCATATTTATTTTCTCACTTGCGTCTCTGACAGAAGTAGTAGGGATGTGTGGCTGGGGGGCAGTGCTAGGGCAGCCAACCTGGGTGTGGAAAGTTGCAGGTTTCATTCCTCGCCATGGTGTCCTCGAGCAGGACACCTACACCCTAACTGCTCCCGGGGCAGTTAGGATGCAGGTGACATAGCTGCAGAGTTGTAAAGTAACTAAGTACAAATACTTTGTTACTGTACTTAAGTAGAATTTTTGGGTATCTTTACTTTAGGTGAGTAATTATTTTTCAGCGTACTTTTTTACTTCTGTTTCTTACACTTTTACACAATTATCTGTATTTTCTACTCCTTACATTTTTAATAAAGGCAAGAAGTAGAAAGTTGTTACTTTTACTTCATTTTTGCTTGTTTTCATTCCAGCTTGTATTTGTAAAAAATAAATACTATCCATATAAACTGTGCCTCCTAGATACAGTTAGGTCCCTACATATTTGGACAGAGACAACATTT